TTTGTCTTAAGTGTCCCATTTCCATTTCCACCACAAGCACCACACCATATATTGTGGTGTTCTAGGTGATGTCAACTCTTTCTTTCCATTAAGATGGCAAAAAAATTACCACAAAGTATTAGAATAGTATGAATAATAAATACAAATAAAACAACCAGAACAATACATTATGATAAAATTTAAAAACCCAATCTTTTCTCCCTGAAATACTTTGATTGCAAACATGGTCATATATCCTCCACTGTTGCCAAACAGGTTTTAGAGGGAAGAAATTAGGATGTCATTCAAAAGTATATAAAGCTGAGATGGGCTGCCTTTTATTTTTAGTTTAGTGTAGGAATACAGTATACCAGAGGGTATCATACTGACATTTACACCCTGCCCTGGTTTTATTTTTTACATTCTCTTTTTTTTTTCAAAAATTAACAAACACTTAGTGCTTAAGAGGTTAAAAAAAGAAAATAAGCAAAAATATTTTCTCCAAAATAATTTTGCTGTCAATTTTGGTCCTATGAACGTAGGGGTATCTGAGAGCTACAAAAAACAGGAGCAAGAGTTTTTGGAGAGTGGAGTTAAAAATTAAATGTAGACTTTAGAGTTGTTTATAATGCAAGGCTTGTTAAAAATTAAAAAAGAAGAAAGAAGAGGAGAAGAAAGAAAGAACATTTTGAGTGGCAGCAAAGGGGAAAAAAACCCTCTTATTGTACAGGTGCATAATCTTCTTTTATATTTCTGATCAGATTAAACCATCTAAGCAAAATAACCTTGCTTATTATGAATTTAATAATTTTAACAGGATCGCAAATCAGTAGAAATCTATCTGTGATATATACTTATTAACTATTAGATGCTGCCCTTTTATCAACTTATCATGATAATGAAGATGCAGTTTAACCAAAGGCTTTTGGTGAATTTTAACACATAATAAATAACAGCTTTTTTGACATTTTCCATTGTGACATTTTACTGGAATTATAAAATTCCAATAAATATCAATGGTGTCCTGACATTTAAACTAACAGTGATCCCTGACTATTTCTTTTACTCAGGTACTACATTTTCATTTAAAGTTTTTAGGACTGTTCATAAATGAAAGAATACCAATATGGTGACTATAGGTACTATCTCACATGTAAACCCTGATCTTAAACTTATAATTAAATAATTATTACAGATTGTCTGGATCCAAATCAGTCTCACTTCAGACCAGATTACAGTGCTGATTTAGCATTCATCACATTTGCTGATGATCTTTGGTGGAGTCACGATGCAAATGGTACATCTATCCTATTGCTCCTTGATCTCTTGCTGGCCTTCAACTGCAAGAGCTAGGAGGGGAGGCACTATCCTCAGTGATTGGTTTCAGTCAGTAGTAACAGGGGAGGAAAAATTGCATCCATGGCACCTCTTACTTGGAATTTATCAAGGCTTAACACTCTGTTCACCATCTCCCAAACACTGGGAGGATCATGTATTAATTACTTTGGGGTGCAGTATCATCAGTATATAGATTGTATCCCATTTACATTTCCATACCAGGTTGCACAGATAAAGTTGCCAATGTACTGACCCAGTGCCTGGACACTCCAATTGTTTGTACTACTTCTATAGTAACCAGATCTGCTAATCCATAGTTTTTGGTTGTGACTAAATTATTGAGATTGATACTGCAATGCATGGAGAAGCTGGATCATGGAGAAAGCTAGAAAAACATCTACTTCTGCTTCATTGACTATGCTAAAGCCTTTGATTGTGTGGATCACAACAAATTGTGGCAATTTCTTAAAGACATGGGAGTATCAGACCATCTTATTTGTCTCTTGAGAAACCTATATGCGAGTCAAGAAGCAACAGTGAGAACTGGACACGGAACCACTGATTGGTTCAAAATTGGGAAAGGAGTCCGGCAAGGCTGTATTCTGTCACCCCGCCTATTTAACTTATATGCAGAACACATCATGAGAAAGGCAGGGCTAGATGAATCAAAAGTTGGAATTAAGATTGCCGGGAGAAATATCAACAACCTAAGATATGCAGATGATACCACTCTAATGGCAGAAAGTGAAGAGGAACTAAAGAGACTCTTGATGCGGGTAAAGAAAGAGAGTGCAAAAGTTGGCTTGAAACTCAACATTAAGAAAACCAAGATCATGGCATCCAGCCCTCTCAATTCCTGGCAAATAGATGGGGAAGAAATGGAGGTAGTGACAGATTTTATCTTCCTGGGCTCCAAGATCACCATAGATGGGGACTACAGCCAAGAAATTAAAAGATGCTTGCTCCTGGGAAGGAAAGCTGTGGCAAATCTAGACAGCATACTAAAAAGCAGAGATATCACCCTGCCAACAAAAGTACGTATAGTCAAGGCTATGGTTTTCCCAGTTGCAATGTATGGCTGTGAAAGTTGGACCATAAGAAAGGCTGAGCGCAAAAGAATTGAGGCCTTTGAATATGGTGCTGGAGAAGACTTCTGTGAGTCCCCTGGACTGCAAGGTGATCAAACCAGTCAGTCCTAGAGGAGATCAACCCTGATTGCTCTTTAGAAGGCCAGATCCTGAAGTTGAAACTCCAGTACTTTGGCCACCTAATGAGAAGGAAGGACTCACTGTCGAAGAGCCTAATGCTGGGAAATATTGAGGGCAATAGAAGAAGGGGACAACAGAGAATGAGGTGGCTGGATGGAGTCACTGAAGCAGTAGGCGTGAGCTTAAATGGACTCCAGAAGATGGTAGACGACAGGAAGGCCTGGAGGAACATTGTCTATGGGGTCGCGATGGGTCGGACATGACTTCGCAACTAACAACGACAACAATTTAAAACAGTTTAAACAGTTTAAAAAAAATAAATAAAAATAAATAAATATTAATGGACTTTCCTAAACTTCTGCACTATGGAACTAATAATGTAGAATCTCTAAAGTCATACTGGTGAGAGTAATAGCAATAGCACTTAGACTTATATACTGCTTCATAGTGCTTTATAGCCCTCTCTAAGTGGTTTACAGAATCAGCATATTGCCCCCAACAAACTGAATCCTCATTTAACTTACCACAGAAGGTTGGAAGGCTGAGTTAACCTTGAACTGATGAGAATGGAACTCCTAGTTGTGGGCAGAGTTAGCTTGCAATACTGCATTCTACCACTGAGCCACCATGGCTCTTCAAGGTAAGGTTCAGAGGTGTTTCGGATTTCATGGCTATCATTGCCAAGAAAAACATAGGCTGTTGCTTACTCATATGGACAATCACATGTTAGACTTGAAACATGTGTGACATTGTATTGCATCCTTTTCCATTGTCTACTTACTTTTAAGCTGCACAGTATCACCTTGCAGCAGCAGTTGTGGAAGGGGCAAGGGGGTCAGTGTGACATAAACAGTGGTGTTCTGATGTAAACCAATATCTTCTATTTGTAATGTAATGTCAAATGCATATCCCAAAGGACAGAGCTTGACATCTTTTTTCAGCACTGTGACATAAACAGTGAGAACTTACAAAACTCTGACATTGGTAAAGATAGAAGGATAGAAGACCTATAAAAATGGTCCACTGCAGCTGTGTGATCCAGATAATTTTTTGACTGTAATTGGAGATTTGTCCACTTATGTCGTGGGCAATTCTTCCACAAATCTGATTGTGGAGACACCAAGATTGTTGGATAAAATTGTTACAAAACAGCCTTCATCAAACCCTCAATCTCTTTATAAAGAGCTCTAGAAAATAAACAAGATAAAGAGTTATCTAGAGTGATGGTAGCACAAAACAAAGAGCAATTTAGATCAATCACAGATTTCTTTCCTTGCTTGGCCTAAATTACAGTGAAGCATGCTTACTTTTCCACTTTTATTACATTATCAGGATAACTCTTTCATTGTTGAAAGTTTCTTTGCAGAAAAAATAGCTTATATTTGTTTAGAGATTGATTATCAAAGTTTAACATGATGACTGTTTGTTTAACTATTTGGTTTTGCTGATCCTGTGGAAGCCGAGGAAACGGAATATCTGTTGTATGTGTGATCTGGATTCATATTCTTTCTGGCTACTGTACTTAGCCATCTGATAGAGGCATTATGTGGCAGAAATTGGGATGTGCTACTTAGCCGTGAATGAGGCAGATATGAACCTTCTCCTGAATAAAATTGTCTAGCCATTCACTTTGTTACAAATCTTTCCTTTCTGGGAAAAATGCTAGATAATATGGGATGGAATTAGCTGATCCTAGATGAAGTAGATTATCTAAATTCTTTCCTTTCTAGATTCAGGTCTAAGCATGAAAGATAAGCAGGTCTGATTCCTCTAGTGCACGTGTGTCAAACTTGTAACATCACGTGACGTGTTGTGACATATTGTGACTTTTTCCCATTGTCGGCAATGGGATGGGAGCGGTTTTGGCATGATGCATCCAGCCCGCAAGCTGGCAGTTTGACATCCCTGATCTAGTGGTTATCTTACCGCAAATTCTGAAGTATGGGAATATGTCCTTTAGGCCTTTGAGCTGTATTTGATTCCATGACCATCCTATATTGCTGAATCACCAGTAGGGGTTGAGAATCAAGGCATATTTACAGTAGTTATGCTCTTATTTTAGTGGACAGTCCCTGTAGAACAGGGAAAAAAGCAGTCAAGCGCACAGCTTCTCCAATATGGGATACCATATTATTTGGCTATCTCTTTTGCTGCAGAAAGCTGCAAAAAAAGGCTATCTGTCAATTTGAGATGAGCAATGTGATATCATCAGTTTGTTTGCTTTTAATCCTATATTATAAACCACCCTGTGTTTCAAGAAATGGGCATTATATAAAGATGTGTGTGAATGTACACACACACATAAGTGCATACATTGGGTAACTAGCATTTATCCTAGAAATCAGTTGAAGTTAACTGAAATATATTTGTTCAGTTATTCTAACAAAATTTATATCTTTGTAGATGGAAATATATAGGGAATCAGTTATGCATTCAGATCATACATTTTTTTTATTTTCCCCCCACTTATTTCAGATTACCTACAAGGCTGTTGGATCTCTAGATCCTACTGCTGACTTGTTGAACCAGAGAGGAAAAGTCTTCAAATTAAGGAATGAAACTCACCACCTCTTTGTAGGGTTATACCCAGGAACTACCTATTCATTCACCATTAAAGCCAGCACAGTAAAGGGTTTTGGACCTCCCATCACCACACGGATTGCAACTAAAATTTCAGGTATTACTATTAAGGGGAAAATGGCATGCTGAGAAAATTCAGTTTTGACTTTGAATTTGGTAGGTAGAGGGAAAATAATTAGCACTCTATCAAAGTTAAAGCAATTAGCATCTTGGGCTACATTTTTTAAAATGTGCCTATGAGGAAAATAACTTGTCATAAAACAGTGATACAATCCTGTCATTTAACATCATGCACTCTAATAAGTAATAAGACATAGTGGGTGGGGCTTTTCATTTTGTTTTATTTCCAGTTAAGCATTGCTTTATGAATCCATTTAATTTTAAATAGCTCAGAAATTGATCTACAATGATTCAAAACATTCCCTTCATCACTAAGCTTTGTGCAGTCCGACTTTTAATCTGCAGATGCACCCAGCAACAAAAAATATCTATAATTTATAACTGTTAGTCTCCATTGTGCATTTATTTAAATATTTTCATATTCACATATAAAGAAATTGTAGAATTGACAAGATACAATCCATTGTTTCTTTTGCTTTAATACAAATAAGGATCAATATTTATTCATTTAGATTTTGAAATCATTAATACACAATGTTGAGATTTCAAGAAATGAGCTTAATTTCTTTTGTTTACTTTATACTTTATGCTAAAACATAATATGATTTATTTTGGGCTTAGGTCAATGCCTGAAAGGGGTCTGCTTACACAGACTGTTGTGTTGCTTTAGAAACAGTCCCTTCCAGATTATAGCTGTAAGTTAAGATCTGAAATTGGAAAGAGAGCAAGAGATATTTAATCAAACATAAAGGAACATGGAAAGAAAAATAGCAAGAAAATCAGTTCTTCCTAATTAGGTTAAAAATTCCATCAAATGTTCACTGCTACAAAAGAACAAATAGTATCAAAAAGCATTTTGTATTTGATTGCCTTCTACTTGTTGATTTCCAGAAACATAAATCTTTCTGTTGTTCCACAGCCCCATCAATGCCAGAATATGATTCTGACACCCCTCTGAATGAAACAGAGACCACCATTACAATCATGCTGAAGCCTGCACAGTCTCGTGGTGCACCGGTCAGGTAACTTTTTTTCTATCCTTGTTTAGTCTCCTTCTTTTTCAAAAATGTCATGACAGGTGTCATTCCATATTTCTAGATTATAAAGAAAAAGAATTATAACAAAACAAAGCAACAATAACACCAGTACTTTAGGGAACCATTGTACAGAGAAAGATACAGAGCAAGTATCTCTAAAAATAAAATGCTGAGATTGATGGTGATTGCACTGTCGTGCAAAAGACTCTATGTTCTCTGGGGCATAAAAATGTGAAAGAATTCCCCAAAGGTTCCTCTGAGAGCTAATTTAGGCATTTTGGTCTCTCTGGATTTCACAGCAGAATGAATGCTAGCATCAAGCCATGTCTGCTAGTATTCATTTTTCCCTATCAAAAAGTTCCACACACAAAATATGCACATAAAAAGTGTAATTAAAAGTTGTGGACAAAAAGCTGTGAATTAACTTTGGAAGAGACACTTAACTTTGAGTTTTGATGAATTGGTCCTTCAAAGCATTGCTATGTAGTTATACCCTGTTTTTGAAAGTAATAGTTGAGAAGCTACCCTTTTTAGTTTTGACCAATTAAAATTATCCACAAGTAGTTAATCTGTGACGTGGTCCCTATATGGGGGAGAGAGTCAGAGGAATAGGTGAACTTACACAGTGCCACTTTGAAATCTATTTAAGGCATCCATAAGATACAACCACTCAGATCTGCTCTGAGTTATATTCCAGTTGTATGGGTGTTTTAACCTATTGTGGACACAATCTGTCTGGTTGATAAGTTTGCAGCTTCAGAAGATCCAGGAATAAACAGATTATATGGATTTTTTCAGATTGTTTTCTGACTGGGATATAGTATTGAGATAATATTGTTCACCTTTGTAGATGATCTTTAGTAGGTTTACTGGGATGGGGGTTGTGTATCTAACCTGTCCTCTATTCTCTAAGTGGCCTTCAAAACANTATTTATTTATATTTGAATTTATATCCCGCCCTTCTCCCGTAGGACTCAGGGCGGCTGACAATCTATTTAAAATACATACAAGACAATACAAATTTAAAATTAATTAAAAAGAATATTAAATATTTGTCGAATTAAAATATAATTAAAACCCCCCTAAAAATTACCCTAGGCCAGTCCTGCAAGCTGGAATAACCAAGTATCCTTCTGTAGTGGCTTTGAAATGAGGTGCATGATGTTATAGTTCTGTCCACCTCATCAGAACTGACTGTGGGTGATGCACAACAATCAAATTAAATCACAATATTAAAACACCATTATAAAAACAATCATTATAAATGCACACAATCAATATTAAAATAATTAAAAATGAAAATATACAAACCACAAATAGGGGAAAAACATAGTAACCATATATTACCCACAATAAGGGAGCCACTTTAAAATGTTATCAGTTACCTGGGACTTCCAAGCCTGATGACTTAACCAGGTCTTGACAGACTTCATGAACATTAACAGGGATGGAAGCCCTTCATGGCACAGAGTCTGGAAATGTGCTTTCTTGGTTGTAGCTTCTGTCTTTTGGAACAACATATCCCACAAGATTTGCCCAGCCTCCAAAACCATCTCGTAGATCTCTATAAGGTTTTTGGTTTTTATCTAGCCATTAAGACCAAACACTGAATAAGCCTACCCTGAAATTATTTGGAAATACTTGAAGATTGATTGCAGTTTGGCCTCAGTTGTGTTTTATATAGTTTTTTATGTTTGTTTTGTGCTTTTAATCCTATGTAAACCACTTAGGGTCAAAAATTGGAGCTAGACAGCCTTATATGTAAGATGGATGGATGGATGGATGGATGGATGGATGACATTCTTTTTCATCAGCTGGTGACAATCTGAAGAAGAAAAGCAACAACATTGGAGGACTCAGTCTCTTGCATAACACATGTTGCACATGCATAATCAGCATTACCACTCACTGATGACAGATGCACCAGAGGCAAATAGAAAGCAACAAGGGACAGCAACTGTCATGTCACAGTAGGTTTTTGCAGCCTAAAAGATGGTGAAAGGCACTCTAAATAAGCAATGCAGTCTTTATCTGTTCTAACACCAGGTTATAAAATTAATGGTGTAGCTGCTACAACAACTGTTTCTAGTTTCTTAATTGACCTAATACAAAATATTCACTTATCAGTAAAAAAAACTCTTATCTTGTTTAACTAATGAAAGATACACTAATTTATTTTATTATTTATTTATTTATTTATTATTTTGATTTATATCCCGCCCTTCTCCCAATGGGACTCAGGGCGGCTCACAACATATTTAAAAACAGAAACATATTTACAATCCCCACCAAATAAAACCAAATTAAAACCAAATATTTTAAAGTTGTGCTGTTTAAAATTTTCTTTAAAAACCCGATTTAAAATCCTCCCTAGGCCAGGCCCGCTTGCTGGAAAAGCCATGTCTTGAGGGCGCGGCGGAAAGTAAGGAGATCCGGAATCATCCGGATCTCGGGGGGTAGTTCGTTCCAGAGGGCGGGGGCACCCACAGAGAAGGCCCTCCCCCTGGGGGTCGCCAGCCGACACTGCTTGGCCGACGGCACCCTGAGG